ATGCTTACCAGGACAGTAATGCTTGTTCACAAAGAGTGGGGTAGGGAAGACTTATGAAGACTCCAAGCAAAATTACTCTTTTTTTTTTTTAATAATAGTTTATATTTACATCATTTTTTGCCTTTTTACTCCTTTTAAGTATTGACATTGCTATCTTTCGAATGTTTGAAAAAAATGCAGTTTGAGTCAAACGTATTGAATGTTTTAAATACTTTTACATCAAATTTTTCCTTATAAATTTATGTTCTCAGAGAAAAATGACTTTTTTTTAGGCTTTGTATGTCTATTTTCAACAGTTTGGCATTAGACTTAGTCTCTTACTACGAAGTCTTCAGAGTTCAAGTCACTACATTTTGTTGCTTTTCAGAAGCAAAACAAAAAGAAAAAAACTTTGCCAAGATTGTGGTCGCTCTGTTAACATTTACATTACCTGTCTCTATTTTCCTGTAGTGTTTTCCTAAGAATTACAATACCTTGAAAGGATACCTGCTACTTAGATGACTGAGCATTTATTCCATATTTACTCTTAAGCACTGAACAAGCTTTTTGACATTTTGTTCAAACTTGTCTGTGTTTAGCTTTCTGTGTCCTCTTCCTTTATTTCATCCCATTAACATCCACACTAGTGACTTTCCATTAGTCATGTCGCGAATCCCTTGTGCTGCTCCAGCATCTGAGATTCTGCCTCATTAAAAAGACAGTACTTGTCTCTTGTCTTGGGCTATAGGTCCTTCTCACTGCTGTGGCTTGAAATTTCCTTTCTTCTTTTTCATGTTGTAAGCCTTCTTGTAAATTGCAGTTTCTGCATTAACACCTGTCTGTACTAAGTCAAGTACTAAAAAGGCTCTGAGATTTTACTGACAATTTAACAAGTTATCTGTCCTGATACAACTTAATGGATGCTTACAGTACTTTATGTTTATTACTATTACTCATATATTCCTTTAACTTGGGCCATTTCATTTGAGGTTGGTCACTGCAATTAAGGTCTTAGATTCTAAACTCCAAACAGAAAAGATGCATCAGCTCTAGTCCTTGGTATATTTTGGGGGAGAATGAATGTTAACATGATCTGGCATTTTGTTACCCCCTTTCTGGCATGAGGGTGATTTCTCTTGCTAAATATTTGCCATTCACCCTACTATTGTTAGAATGATTAGTACCAAGCTGCTTTTTTTCACCCTCTCTGAAGCCATATTGAAAAACCTTTTATTTTCATTATTGTATTATGAGACACCTATATTTATTACACAAAGAACCAGGTATTTGTAGGATACTTTCTTATTCTCTACCTATATGACCTATAGCTAGATATTAGGACATTAATTCAATTTCAAAAACTGCCATGGAATAAACCCAGCCCCAGGCTTTCAGCTCTTGTCAAAAGGTAAAACAAAGCTTTGGCCTATGAATCTGATTTCTGAATTTTTTTCATGTTATTTCATCTGTTACCCTGTTTTTTAGCTATTGTATTAATTATTGCAGTACTGCAGACTCAGTTCTAGTTTATGTATTGGGGCTGAGTTTCGTAGATATGCTCTTTTTACAGGTGTGAAAATAAAGGCACAAGAAGATTAATTAGAATAACTAAGCTCATAAAGTTAGTAAGTGAGAGGGCTGGCTTTAAACCTGTGGCTGTTTGCTTCTACAGTCTATGCTCATAATTGCCTCACTTTACTACCTCTTGAAGTTACTGTCATATGAGAATTATAGGTGGCTATTATTACATTAGGGGTAATGGAGATAGTTGTTGTTTTTTTTTTTTCAGGTTGTGCTATTCATGTTTTTTTTTAACCTATTTTTTTATTACAAAAGTTTATTTTTACATCATTTTGTACATTTTTTTTTCCATCTCAATTGTAATCCCCGTGGGTTTCCCATCACCAAGTCACCCATGTGTCATCACCATAATCCCGTGCATTTCCCCCCCCGCCCCATTTTTTATCCCATTCCCCACTCCACCCCCACAAAATGTCTCTGGTAGATGGTTGTTCATTATTTTTTGTTATTTTCTGGCCTGGTCCATTACACTGCTGCTATGAGTGAAACCATCCGGTATTTTTCTTTCTCTTTCTGGCTTATCTCACTAAGCATGATCTTTTCCAGTTCCATCCAAGTTGCTGCAAAAGACATGTGTTTCTCTTTTTTGGTTGCTGAGTAATATTCCATTGTATATATGTACCACATCTTTCTAATCCAGTCATCTACTTTTGGGCATTTGGACTGCTTCCATGTTTTTCCAATTGTAAATAAAGCAGCAATAAACATGGGGGTACAAGTATGTTTTTCAATCAGTGTTTTTGTGTCTTTTGGGTAGATACCTAGGAGTGGGATTGCTGGGTCGTAGGGAAGCTAATGGAGATAGTTTAAGGAGGAGTTGTAGCTAAATCTTGAAATAGAAGATAGGTTTGAATATGTGGAGAAGAAAACTCATCCCAAGAAGCACAGAATGGCTCTGTAGAAATAACATATAACCAGTAAACTGGGGGTTTATCGATTAGAACTTTATTGAAAATAAACATTTTTAGTCTCGGTGTTCTTAGACTAATTGGGTTCAGTAGTACTACTAATATTTTCTTAGTCACTGGGAAGGTTAAGACTCCCAATGGAAGTGCATTACATAAAGCCCTACATAGGAAATTAATATTTATATATGGAAGAACAAATTATACATACATATAAATATATATAAGGAAATAATAAAATGAAATTCCTAATACTTCTTATGGAGATTTTTAGCCTGTTCATTTTTCTTGAACTATTTCTGCCCACACCAATATAATGTGGTTAGTTTAACTTGTGATGAAATTGGTCCAGCAGGAGGAAGTGGTTGTATATTGAAACTCTGCCAGATTTTAGAAGAAAAATGTTATTTTAAGCATTCTGGTCATCTTTGATAGATGGAGGTCTTGTCATACAATTATCAAGAGGCAGGTTTACAGGCTACCACACATGGCTTCATTATTTATGAAAACCATACACACCATCAGAAACTAGAAATAATGTGAAAACCTGTAACTCGGTCCAAAAAATATCTTGCTTATGCAACATGGTAAAAATAAGAATCTTTATTGAGATTGGGAGACTGATTCCTTTCCTAATCTTGGAGCTGAAGAAATCTGAACTCTCCTCTGGGTTTTGTAACTAACTCAGTATTCAGACTTGAAATATATTTAACATAATCACACATATACATTCATTGGGAATATATGTCCAAATTAGAAAAAGTGTGAAGAGTGGGGATATAAGCTAACACGAAAAGTTAGAAACTAAAACAGTTTGGGAGTTACATAGTTGGTATAGAGTGGGCAAAGTTAGAATTTCTTTGTGAAATCTTTCTTTTAGACTTGTGTAGGTTAGCCGTTTGTGATGACATTGAGAATTTTTTTTTTTAAGATTTTATTTATTCATATAGAACTGGGGTACAGGCCAGAGATGCGGAGGGTGAGAGGATTCACCAGAGACAGAGCAGGGAGCAGAGGAGGCAGATCGACGAAGTACACTGCTGAGGGGAGCAGCGGGCGGGTCAGGAGAGGTCTGCCTCGCCACGTGGATCTCCTCCCGGACAAGCGGGAATCAAACTCAGCGGAAGTGGCTTAAGCTTCTTAGTGCTGTGCTTAACCCGCTGCGCCACCAGAGGGGCCCGACATTGAGAATTTTTAAGGTACATTTCCTTTTTAGAAAAATAAATTTTAATGGGGAGTACAACTGAGATGAAAAATGCACAAAATGAAGAATGATGTAAAAAAATAAAAATAAATAAAATGACCAAGAGAGTAAGGATCCTAGACAAACATAATTACATAATTACTAAGGTCTACAGCAATAATATAATAAACTTTTGTTCTAGAAAAAAAAAAAGAAAGAAAGAAAAACTTTAGAAGTTTAGAAGGAAGCTTTGTTATAACTTTTGAAGATTCTGGTTTTTTAGTCATCTATTAACTTAAAAAAAATCAAAAATTACATTGAAGATCATTTTGTCCAAGCTAAACTCTTATTTGTATAATGCCATTTTATACAATATCTTACCTCTTCAGAAATATATGCCATGTTTCTCTTGGCTTTTAAAACCTAGGTCCATAGCTACTTTGGAATGTGAGGAGGTCCTACATTATGTAAATTTTGTTATATCTGCTGTGGAATTTTGCTGCATAAAACTGTGTTGAGAGCCTGAGCCATTTTTTTTAACAAAGTTCTACATTTTAACAAACACTGTGTCAATTATGTTGAAAATACTTTGTTTTAATTATAAAAAATGTAAAAGCATTTCCTAACTTACATTTTTGTATCTGTCTTAAAAAGTAAAGCTTAGCTATTTTCATCCAAGGAACTGTTTGCAATTTTTCCTAAAGAAAATATTTTTTTTCTAAAAATTTTGAGTTGGAAAAGAAATGCAAAATTTAAGTGATTTTAGTCCATTCATCTTGAGGAATCTGTAAGCTTTTTCACCTGTGTTTTATTATTTATCTCACCCTGAAGCTCATTTCTTCATTAACTCCTTGGGCAAAACTTACCATGATTTCAGCTGTAGCAGCACAGTCCTGTCTGACCTGTGTAACTTACCACAGTTAGCTATCTGAGCCTTAAGCTTTTGCAGGTATATAATGGGGTTATTTATTATTTAGCATGTCATTTCCACATGTATTCTTGGTACCCTGCAGGTAAGTATAGGTGCTGTTTTTGGAATTTTCCTATCTAGAGAAGCAAGTAATATATAGATCCCACATACATTGGATTGTAGGTTAGAAGGTCTAAAAGGTGAAGAGTACTAGAAAGGAAATTGAGAATGTTAATTTTATAATAAACAACACATAGTTTTATGCACTTTATTCTAAATAGTTTTCAATGTAAATAAACTAAGCAGAAGGTAAATTTGAACTATAATTATTTTTTTTCATTCTTACAAATGGTTATGAACATTTACTAAGAAAAGTAAAAGTTAATTTAATTAAGAAAACATTAAACCTTAATAATGTCTTTTTTCTTCATTTCTTTTGTAGAATATTTATGTAATTGCTCTGTGACTGGAAGTCTGGATGCAAATCACTGCAACCAAACCACGGGACAGTGTGAATGTCGTCCCGGTCATCAGGGGCTGCGCTGTGAAACCTGCAAGGAGGGCTTTTACCTGAACCACACTTCTGGGTTCTGTCTGCCATGTCACTGTAGTCCACATGGAGCCCTCAGCATGCTCTGCAACAGGTAAGCAGTGGCAGACAGGTAAAATTAATTTTATTTTATCAAAGAAAAAAGAGGGTTCAGGCTCTCAAAGACCGGGCTGATTTAAATGAAGGAGGATTTACAAAACAAATACTTACATTCTCTCATTTTATATATTACATTTAATGTCAAGGCTTGAGAGATCTCATTTACAGATTCAATTCTTCAGAAGTACCTGGGTCACCAAGTTGGTTTGTGATAATCTCTCTACATTTCATGGAAAAAAGTTACTGAGAAAGCAGTCTGCTCTCTGGAAGTGATTATTCCCAGACATTTCCAGTGGAAATGTTCTTGTTTTGTTTATTAACATGCCATTGGAGTTTCGGGAAACGTAGTCTTTGGTTTATTTTTCCTCTTATCAAAATTCTGACACTTTTTCTTTGCAAATCTAAGGCTTAAACTTGATAATATTTTAATTTCTGTAACTAATTGAAAAAGACTAGTTTTACCACTGTATCCAGCATATTTCTGGGGACCAATACTAGGAATTGTCTGGAAATTACCTTTAAAATAGTATGCTGTTTGTGTACTTCGTCGATCTGCCTGTTCTGCTCCCCACTCTGTCTCTGGTGAAGCCTCTCACCACCCCTGAGCCTCTGGCCTGTACCCCAGTTCTGTATGCACAAATAAATAAATCTTTAAAAAAAAAATAGTATGCTGTTTAAAGGTGATTTCATCTAGCCGAGCCCCTATTGCTGAGGATTTGTCATCTCGTATACTAAAAGTAATTATTCTCTGACTTGTTTAATGTTTTTAGTGGATCCCAGTTCAGGGAAAGCTAAAGAGACAATGTTATATAATGTTAGGTACGTGAGCTTTAGAGTCAGTCTAATCTGGGTATGGATCTAAGATCTTCCACTTAAAAGCTTTGTGCTTTCAGTACTTTTTCATCTCTCTGAGCCTGTTTCTTACAGGGTTATGAAGGTTTAAAGAGTAGAGGTATATAAAATGCCTAGTACATATTACTCAATAAAGTGCAGGTTTCAAAGTGTTATTCTTGGCTTAAATAGGGGAATGTTTTAAAAGAAGTTTTAGCTCTTTAGCAGAAAAGCTTCTATTATACTTAGCAGTAGATGTTTTGGATGCTTTATAGATCATATTATGTTCTTGCACAATATTGTAACTTGCTGTGCTCCTATTAAAAAAGAAATCAAATTGATTAAAAGTTTATTATTTCAAATGCAACAATAATCGATGTCTATGATACTTGGCATTTTTAATAGCTATTTGTATAAGGGCCTGCAGAGTCATATGGCAAGTAATAATACTAGAACTTGAAAAATTATCATAATCCTCACAATCAACTTCTTTTATTTTTTTTTTGTAGATCATTAAATCACAAAGACAATAAGTGGCAGAGAAGGAATTTCAGATACAGTCTTCCAGTTCCAATTCCAGTGTCCTTATCACCACACCCATAGGACTTCTATAGTGAGAAAACAGGTTAAGAATATGGCAGTTGCTTGACCACTGCTTCTTCTGCCTCCCTAAAAATATTCACACAAAACTTATATTCAAGATCACATTACTTGCCATTTTAAATGACATGTTTCTTCATTCTGATGTCTAATAGCATGTCTACTACTTCTTTTAGAACAAGATTCTGCAAACACATTTGCCTTGAGGACTTTGGAGAAGTAGTAAAATGTTAATCTCTAGGTAAAACTGCTTCATTGGAGGAGAAAGAAATAAGGAGAGAATTGAGAGAGGGTTTTAGAAGCTGGAGAGGAGAAGAAAACAGTCATTTAACTCCTCGCCACTGACACTCATAGCAACTGACTATGCTGTTACCCTCCTTGTAGCTGTTGCTCTGCCTGGGCGCCACACCTGATTTCTAATGTGTGGCTCACTCTTTCCTCTCACTGTATCTGTTATAATTCTGGCTGATTTCAGTGTCATTTGGAGGCTTCTAACAATGCTTTGTCAGTTTCTTCACCCCACTTCCCATGAGTTTACCTTTGTGCTTTCTAATCTTTTTTTCATTTACCTCATCTATTGATTGTCTTTGGCCACAAAGATAGGCATATTAAATTTTTGAAATTGTTCTATAATTCTTTCCTATGGGTTACTGCAGAGTGATGTTTAATTAAACATTTTTGAAACAATATTGTTTCAGAATGTCAGGCAATTTGTCAGAACAAGCAGTGCATCATGAAAAGACATTTAAAAGGTTTTACGTAGAGGAAGTCATTAGAAGGAAGGTTTGGGAGCTCTAAATCCAGTTCTAAGCACTCTGTGTAGCTTACCACCAAAAAGGAAGTTAAACTGACATGAAACTAGAGGAACAGAAATGGGAAGCTTCAGACTATGTGCTTTGGCAAGCACATGTGGGTAAGCTATAAGGAAACACCTCTAATGTTCTGCTCTGCTATAAATTATATGTGGGCGAGTTAAGAGAAAAAGGAAATTATGGGTAAGTAGTGTGTTATGTGGTAGAAAGGAAGTGGAATCTGAAATTACGAGACTTTGATTTCATTCTTGCTTTAAAAGTCACTTATTAAGTATAAGGCCTTGATTAAAATATATTTGGCCTTTTCAAGCCTCAGGTTTTTTATCTGTAAAAAAAATTAATGTAGCACAAGAGATTTTTTTGTGAAAATTTAAAAGCTCTGTGTGTGTGTGCATATATCCACTTACACTGAGACTGGCATATAGATTCATCCCAGTAACTCCCTAGGAATTGAACCTGTTTATTTTATTTTATTTTGTTAAAAAAAAGGTGAGGAATAGAATTAGTGACTCACAAAAAAAGGAAAATTAAGTCAACTAGACTTCCAGACTTTGGTATGTGTAGAAACTGGGTTATTTATTTCTGTTGGTAGGCTAAAGAGGAAATTGTTCATTTTAGCAAAAATATTTATTTTCATAAGAAACCTCTTCAACCTTTTAAAATTGGACATGTCATGTTTTATAATAATAATTTCTAAAATTAGTTGAATACTTGATAGGCGCTGCCCTTAGCCATTTGCTTACAGTAATCCTTTTCATCATTATAGCAGCCATATCAGGTAGGCAACATTTTTATTAGTCTCATTCTTGCTAGACAAAAAATTTGCAAGTCCAGAAATTTGCCTAATTGATAAGCCAATAGCAATTTTATTACAGAGTTGGAATTGAAATGTTTGCAATCAGGTTCTAGAGTATGTATTCCTACCCACAGTGCTGCAGTGGCTTTTCTCAAAGTCTTAGATGCTAACCACAGTGAGTGAGGATTGTAAGAAACAAATGCTGTGAAGCAGGCTAGTTGATATTTTATGGAGATTTCGCCTCATTGTCCTCTGGTGATCAAGCCCTAACCCTAGGGAGAGGTAGCTCATACTGTATAACTAATGCTTTTTTGGTAAGGACTAATCCCAATTAGTAGCAATTGAGAGCATTAGAGATCTACCCTTCAATGAATAATCATCATTTGTAATATACATTATATTGCCATCTCTTTGAGTTAAATCTGTTTTGTTTGTTTTAAGTGAGGTATAGACTTGGTGATTCACAAAAGAAGGGTAAACACTTTAGAGTTAAAGCAGTATTACTTTTGTTCTTGTCAAGAAACATATAATCCATGTGCATGTGAAACTAAAAGACACAAAATTACTAGAAGCCAATACAAAACAGTTTATAAATGCATGTTAAATCTCTGAGTAGTTTAAAGAGGAAAGAGAACAGGAATAAGCTGAAGTAATAAGGAAGGCTTTACTGTGGAGGTGGACTGAGATGTGACTTTCAGGATAGATTTATTGTATACAGAGATGAGAAGACCTTACCAGGAGGACAAAAACATGTGAATTCAAGTGACTTTCCTAAGGTTATATAATAACACAAGACATCTTATCTCTTAACACCTCCTCAACTCTCTTGTTTGTATCTCTTTGTTCTCTTTTTAAAAATAAATAAAGGCAGAAAAGTGACCTCAATTCTGTCCTGATTTTCATACATATAATGTCCATGGAGCGAACAGCTGGGTTCTTAAAAATTCATTTCCCTATTCTCCATCCCCATATATTTCAGTGGGAGTTGCCTCAGTGAGGGTAGAATTTGGCTGCAGGAGCCAGATGTGGGCTGAGCAATGTCTTTGTGTGCACACACAAAGTCCTTTATGTATTGACAGATGGCCACCCCCTCATGTCACCATTGGTGTTCCAACCTGTCTAATTGGGAAGGACTTGAGCTAAAAACATCATGCTTTTCATTTTTGCTATTGGTATATATTTCTAATGTTTTCCTGATTTGCATTTGGATATATGTTTAATAAATGAGTGGGGAAATCAGAAAGCTCTTAATCTCAAAAGCAGTATCTTAATGTAGTCAATATTATAAGGGCTGACTTTACATGTAGACAGTTATATACTGATTTAATTTTGTTAAATGTATTTATGATAGGTTAGTTTACAACTTGAATCATTTAGACTGTGTCTGTAAGGTAACAAAGAAGTTCTGTAGTGGTGTAATATCCTATTCCATAAAATCTGTGGTGGTTGTTGTACAGTGTATTTTGAAATATTTACTACTTTGCATTCTTAATTATGGGAATTTGCCCTAGGACAGAGGGCAGCATTTTACTCATGAAGTAAACTTATGCTGAAATAAATGTCAAGTAGAAAGATGACAAAACCTCTGAGACTCACATTCATAGGAAGACTCACATTCATGGAAATTCTCTTTTGTTTTAACCAAGAGTACTAGCTGCTGTGTAAAATCTTTATTACTTTGCATATAATTTTGGGAGGTCAAGGAAAAATTATTTGATCATTAGGAACAATTACTAATTGAGGAAAGATCTATCTTTTATTTGCTTGTTGTTGCATTAATAAGGACATTGCTTTTGCCAGCTATGTGTCCAAAGACATTATCTTTTTGCTCAAGGAACTTATTGTCTAGTGGAAAGATAGAAATAAAAAAAAAAAGAGTATTCATAAGTACACAGGAAATTCAGGGAGGCCTTGAGAAAGGAAGTAGAATTTAAATAGAAATTTGAAGGATGAGTA